GGGGGGGGGGGGGGAGCAATTTCATCCACTTTACACTTGCAGAAAATCCCATAGTATTTGATTGTGTAGCTGCAGCCTGAAACAGGGGAAATGTACACCTACTATAGCTCCCTCATTCATTGTGCCTCTTTTTGTCATACATTATCACTTCTCTTCATGACTGACATCACAATATCCATTTGCACAAGGCACTCATTTTTTTTCCTTCCCCAATGTATGTTACTCATCTTTGCATGTCTGGAGATCCTCGTTACAGTTTCACACTCACCAGTCTTTAAGCAGGGATCTCTCTCTCAGGGCCTTGTCAAAGAAAACCCTCTCCTTCTTTCCCCCAGTCACGACAGTCTATCTGTTTTTCACACTAAAATGTTGGTTTGATTAAACATCTAGGTAGCTTTTTCCTGATATTTTCCTTTCTCTCCTCTTGAAAAAAAGCATTTTTCTTGGAGACTTAGTTGATAATTGGAAGCTGGCTAGATAATGCAGTGAGTCAGGTATGACTGTGGAGCTAAAGGTTGGGAGTTCAATTCCCCACTGTGCCTCCTGGGAGAAGAGCCAACTTGTATGACTTTGAGCAAGCTGCACAATACCAGGATGTTCCCAGATGAAGGAAAGGTAAACCACTTCTGAATTCTCTCTATTTAGAAACCTTGAGAAGGATCACCATAGGTCAGAATTGACTTGATGAGACAAGATTATATTACATTACATTACATTACATTACATAATATAATATAATATTATATTATATTATATTATATTATATTATATTATATTATATTATATTATATTATTAGTTGATAATTGAGGAATGTGTCATCTACAATCTCTTCCTCACCTGTGTTAAGCTGTGCCGCATTTTACCACACTGCATTACATAGTCACTGATGCTACCAACACCTACTGTTCAAAATACAAGGTGCCCACACTTTGCTCCCAGCCACTGATTTGTTTTCACACTTCTGCTGATTGTCACCAAGCCTACAGAATGGTTGCAGTGACTGCTCTGCGGGCACAGCTGTGTGAACATGTCTATCCAATCCACAATTCATGTCCTCCTTTAATTGAACAAGTAACACTAGGTATGAGTGGATGCAGGCTGGCACCATTGAGCACCAGGACTGTTCATTCTCTTAAAATGTTAAAACATTTTAAAAGGACACCTTACTTTGTCTCACACTGGCCACCAACTCCACTGGAAGAGGCACCAACAGAGAACAGAACTAGGACTGGAAACATTCCAGCTAGAAATGTTCAGAAGGAAAGAAAAGCAAACACCCATCCATTTATGTCACTGATGATGCTGACCACTGACTGCACCCAGTCACACCTCCCACTTATATGTGAAGACCAAATGATGTAACAAGGGCTCTAAATGAAATAATTTCAAAGTAGATTCACACCCTATACATGTTTTCATGCCTTTAGCTCCACGTTGATAGCTGAACCACGGACAATCATGGTTCCTATGACTAACAATGACTAATAGTGTGTGTCATGCAGATCTCAAGAACAGTAGCAAAAGGTAAGGCCATGATTCAACACGAGATACTGATGTAAAATTCTGGTGTAGAGACTCATGTAGATTCTGCATATGGAAATATTAAATCCAGGTTTATTAATCCAAAGTCACAAGCTGGGCACTTTGGCAAAGAACTTGGAGAACTGATGTCAGTAAACTTGAAAGTACTGGATATAGTGTCTTTGTGGCCTGTCTTCGGTATAAGGGAGCTTCCTATGTTAATGTGAAACCTGTGTCATACTCATCTCGAGGTTCGCCCCAATGTTGTAAACAATGGATTCACTAGGACCGTCCTTGGTACTCCAGTATGTACCTCATTATTTAAAAGGAACTCTAAAGCATCTGTGTTTGAAGACTTTTCTCTTTTTTACAAGCTTCCAAATAGAGGATTTCTCCACTGCCTCAGAGATGACATACTACTTTTAGCCTCCTTGATCATGTTTAGCATTAATTAGACCTTTTTACTCTACTAGTGCTTGGCAGACTCAATGTGATAAATAAATTTTTTCAAAAGTTTCCCTGTCCCGTTAGCAGCTGTTTCATTTACTTTTGCTATCTATTGATTGAAATTGTTTTAGATCACCCTACCAGTGTCAATACAGATACAGTGAAGCGCTAGCTGCCTCAGAATGCCTTTCTAGGCTAATCAACAGGAGTCCTTTGTGTTGTATCAGCATAAATCCTCAAAAATTCTGAATCTAGCAGCTCACATACCTATCCGGAGGCACAATTCATCATCACTGTTTCTTTTTGCTGCTGAAATTTGGAACAGGAGAGGAGCCGTTAGGTGCATATTGTAGAAAGGGGAACTTGTGTTAGAAAAAGATTGGGGCAGAGGAGGAGACCCAAGATTGAAACTCAAAAGATTTAATTTTAATACTGAACACACTACCAGCTCTGGACGTTTATAAAAAGTTAAGCTTCCCCATCTCTGAAACCTATTGCTGCAGCAAGCTCTAGAAAGGTATGGGAGTGTATAGGTGTTTTTGTTGCAGTTTTCCACAATGATTCAAACTTTTTCAACAGGTGCTGTTTTGGGGAAATTATCCATTGATTGCTTTCACCACTTTCAGATCCAGGACCAGCTACACTTGCCTTAGGCCCAAGCTGAACGTAGTGTTTTCCTCTTCGTTCAGTCTGCTTGTGCTAAACAAGCAAAACATCCAGGACATCTTTAGACTTTCCTAACTTGTACACAGTTTATTCTCCTGAGCTTCACCTTGTTGCATTTAATCATCACTTTTCTTCTCTCTTTGGGTACCAGGTGCATTGTTAAAAAGCCAAAATTACAAAGACAACAATAAATCAGTGGCTAATTCTCTGTACTAATTAACTCAAGCTGCTTTGATGAATATTCCCCTAACCTCCCCACTTTGTTAGTTTTCACTGTTCACAGAGTTAGTTTTCACTGTTCATTTTTTTTAATGCTGCTGTTGTTGATCAAGCAGGTGAAACGCCCCCGGAGAGTTCCCCTCCTCTCTTTGCCTGCTTTTTAAAATTACCCCAGTAATCTCTGACCTAGTTTTTATCTTTCAAAATCAATATCATCTTGCTGAACCTGCTGAAGCTCTTCCTTTCCATTGCTGGTCTACCCTGCCCCCTTTGCAAGCTCTGCCATTAATAAGGCAGCTTTCTTTTCCCAGCAGCCCTATCCCTTCTTTTCTTTTCCTGGTGCGCTCTCCCAGTCCTGCAATTCGTTACTGAGTCAACAATAAGTTGTACCTGAAGGTGTTCATCCATCATCACAGAGAATCCCACTGGTGGAATAGATTTTCCCCCATCCTGCAAGCCTGCATGCTCCCAAACTCTGTGGTGTATGTGTGTATGTACTGAGGACAGTGCAGAGAAGGTTGTTTTTTTTTAAAGAAGGCAGGTCATTCCTATTGCTTTTGCGACACTGGACAAGACTCATGATGTGTAACACTACACTCATTAGATGATATCCTTGGATAGGAAGGGATCCCATCCTTCCAGAAGGTGCACTACAGAAGGTAAACTGAGCAAAAGGCTGCACAAAAGGAAACCTGTTAAATGGCATGAAAGGGGAACCATACACAGCACAATGATGACGACAATGATAATTGGTCTCCATGTGTCTGTTCTTTGCACCTGACCAAATAGGTGTACGAGTTCAGCTTGGGACCCAGGGCAAGTGCCCATCTTTCTCACATTTGTAGCTGGTCCTGGATCTGAAACCAGTGAAAGCAATCAATGGATAATTTCCCCACAACATTTAAAGACTTTTTGAGACAGTCTTCTGGTGCCATCGCATGTTGCTCCTCCCTACCCCCAACAACATCTTATCTTTAAGGCAGTATTTCCCAACTGCAGGTTTCTTGAGATCGATTGAATACAATTCCCATCATCCCTGAGCACCATGGATGACGATAACTACCACATCTTGGGGGAGGGATGCATTTCTCCAAATGACTCACTGATAAGACGCATTGAAAGACCAACTGCTTCATTACACCATCACAAGAATCATGAAAAGGAAAAATAAAACAAAACTCCAGAGGGTCCACAATCTTATAGGAAACTCATGGAGGAGGCCCAGCAATGATTTCTCTGGATAATCTGTGCTTCTGGAGACCAGTCTAACAGACCCTCAGTTTCAAAAACTGGGGAGAAAGTCACATTGTCAAACGTATGTCTGTTTGTTTGCAAAAGTATTCTGTAATGTTCTCCAATAAACCGTGCATTGCAACTAAAGAGGATCCTTTCTAAAAGGTGGATGACTCACTGGCTTTATGAAAATAGAAGCAGCCAGAAAAGGTTGAAAGAATTGCTGGGCGCTTTAGCTATGATTGCCTGGCACAAAGCTCTCAGTGTGAAAAATCCATTGAAATGGTATTTGAGTTTCGCACTTAGAGCTGCACTTTTCTAACAGCAGTTCTTGCTGTATTCACAACAACAACAACAAATTCTGAGGAAGTGGATTGTTTTAAAAACAAGAAATAGCTTCAGACAATCAGGTTTAATTATGCTACAGAATCATAGGAGTCCAAGTCCCCTCCTCACCCATTCTCTCTCTCTCTCCATTAGTAGAAAGAAGCATTTCCTCTCTCTCTCTCTCTCTCTCCCTCCATTAGTAGAAAGAAGCATTTTCCCCCTTAGTAATTAGAGCAATAGGTACCCAAGTGGCAGTTACCGCTTGAACTCTCCTTTGCTGCATCATACCTGCATTAAATACAGATTTTGATCATCCTTCCTCCCACCTAATGCATTGAAGATTGGAGTGGCATAAAATTCATGCACACACTTTCCTTTTCAATGCATTTGAAATTAATTTAAAACGTCTCGATTAGATTTTAGGATTGCCGTTTTTCAATTTTCCATATCTTAGGTGGTCCAGTTTGCATACTATATGAATTACCATAACATGCTAATAAAGACAGCTTTTTCATATTCTACAAATTAACCACATTTATGTTTGTATTATATTATGCCCAATATATTTCGGTCTTTTGTTCATTTATATAATAATTGCTAATCCATGGGAGCCAGTTATAGTGAGAGTGTTGGATTCGGAACAGGGAGACACAGGTTGAAATCTCTGCTCAGTCCCAATCCTACGGGGTATCTCTGGATCGGCTAGTACTTTTCAGCCAAACCTACCTTATAAGATTATGTGAAGAATACAACGGGGAGAAAAGAACCAAGTCATACCGGCATGTGTATGGCTGGCGTATACTGTATAAAAAATGGCATTTTGCCACACAACTTGCACTTCTCACAATATTCTTATGAGGTGGTTGCTGATTTTTGCTACCTTTTTTTACTGATGCAAGGCAAGGCAAGACAAAGCAAAAACGCTACTGATCCATTAGAACATCACAGGAATCCCATACGAGTGATGCAATATCACCTGATTTACAGGAAGAACGCAGAAGGAAGTGAGGCCAAGCTGCAGAAATCATAGAAAAAAACAAGACACCATTTCCATATACTGTACAGTAAGGAATTTCTACTCATTATGACTAGAAAATACCCCAGCTTATTTTTCTTTGTCATATCTGACTTTTCACAGAGCTCATATACATACACAGATACCTATACAAGTGCGCACCTGCTTTCTAAACCCCACACCCATTGCTGTGGTTTTGTTTCACTGCTATGCTACATTCAGAATGAGATCCCTAACAGAGCTTAAGTGCATTTTCAGTAAATAAATCACACTGCCGAGAATCCCTCAGTCAGAAGAAACACATACCACTCTGGCTGGAAGATCTGGGGAATTTAACTCAAGATGGTAACTCTGCCAATCTCTGCTTCCTAATGACTACAAATATATCAATTCCCTATGCACATTTATTGAGGTGCTAAAGACTCGTTTA